CACAATACCATGTGGTATTACAACTTTTGAATGTTAAGAAACCTTATATTTCCTCAAGTATCAGTACTTAATGTTTTGTTCCACACATAAAACTCAGTGAATGGAAGGCTGCTGGCCCCCTTGTCAGAGGTAATTTCTCAAGGCTCTGCATGGGATTTAACGGGAGCCATATGGTTAAGTCCATCAACCCTCCCAGAAAGCATCCCCCTGAAGGGCCCTCGTAAATGTTCTCTATGCTGTGAAAGATCCAGCAACTTTCTAACAATAAAGCAATGCTCATAGTCATCATATTCCACAAAACCTAAAGCAGGAAGTAATGGCTTCTGGTCTGAATTATTCAAAGAGGGCTTCAAGCTGCCCTGGGGAAGGGCCATGGGCCAGTGATGACCTGGGACCTGCTGGCCTGTTGCCTCCATAGGAAGAAGACTTTCCTGGATGTCACTTGCCTTAGCTTGTGATACACAGTGACCACAAGCTGTCTTGTGGTGGACAGTTCTTCATTATGCTCTGTTGATTTGTGGAGTTTAAGAAAGCTTTCAATAATGGGTTTGTACACCTATGCATTTATAGAGCAAGTACATTCTTAAACACTAAACTGCTTATTATTTAAACCTTCTTTAAGCCAGGCCTTTCTGTGATGGCATTACTTACTGACCTCTCTCCATGCTTTTGGGTTTCCTTTTTCAGAGCAACAATGACAAAGAAACCCTTGAGTCAATTTACATCCTCATCTCGATGAACAGCTCAAGCACAACACCAATTCATACAACAAAGCCACATGACTCCTCTGATAGGAGAGGTTCCCTTGCTTTTAACACCAACAAGTTCTAAGATGCAATACGATTTTCATTATTATCATCATCATTATTTTCCTCGGTCATGTCCATTGAACTACTTTGTATGGCACATAGTGTCAGGGATTGCAAAGAGAAAAGAGAGAAAGAAGCACAGAAAGGGTGAGAGAAGGTACAATTTATGATGAGTGTCGACTCCTTTTTATTGTTTTCATAAAAATATTTTATATAAATATTCTACAATATTTATATACATTTCTGGCTAAGTGTTCGATCTAAAGTGCCTACCTACAGCACCATGCAAATAGAGTTTAAGGCCAAGTAGCCAATATGCCCACATATCACATGGACATGTTTATTTCAAGACTAATTGGTATAAAATCAGGGAGAGGTCTCATATGTTCACTGTTGAATATATTTTGAGTTTTCTAGTATATTAATAGAATATTTCACAATGGAGCAGATATCTTCTTTCCAAAGATCAATATTGGTAGGAACATTTGTATATTTTGATATATTACACTTCTACTGTAACAATTACTGTCAAATAACATTCACCAATAATCTAACCAGCTTATCTATTTTTTCAATCTGTACAGAGAATTAACATTTTAGAACATTTTAAATACAGGAAGAAAATTGATGGAATGTTTTGGCAGTGGTTCCCATAACCTGTCAGAACTCGGCACTTATACCCGTTCTTGCAGAACTCCACACTCCATATTATCTTCATTGCTCTCCTGAAGAATGACTGATCATGAATTACTATCATTTACTCCAAAAGAGAAATAGACTTCTTTAGGGAAGCTGGGATCTATCAAGATCATAGCCACCTATTCAACAGAGTATTGGCTCCTACAGAAATGTCTCATGTGAGAGAGACAGAGAGACAGACAGAGGCAAACAGAGAGACAGAGAAAGAAAGAATTTGCACTACCACTACCTGCTCATCTACCATTTTCCCCAGGCTTTGCTGGCTTGATCCTGAATTAATGAGCCTGTTACATGATATCTAATAAAAATGACTAGAGCAGAGATCTTGGAATCTGCCACATATTTGGTCCAAGGATGAATCAATTTCATCTATATTTTAACACATGCTTGTTTTCTGTCTCACTTGTCTCCCCCACAGCCCATGCCTCACTCTTTTTTCCCATCTGGAAAACTTATCTCCTAAAATGCTGCCATCAATCAGCCAAAGACACTCATCCCGACAGAGTGTCTGCCAGTTTGACAACGCACAAGTAGTCACTAGTTTGGGGATACCTCCCACACTCTCTAGTGCTGTGTGTTTTTCTAGCCGGCCTAACCACACAAGTGCAATTTGGGATATTTATACTTACCTCCAGTTTCTATTGGGATAACAGCACTACTTCGACAGAACTGGAAAAAGGGCATGGCAGAGTGTGGAAGGGGATGGAATGAAAGTTTCCATGTTATTTGTCTATCTACTGTTAACCTTATTTCTTCAGATTTTTGCGTTTCCACCCATTTTGGAACAATGTAGCCCAGTGCCTATAGGTACTTAGAAAGTACGAAAATCAAATGCTTACTAGGATGCATACTTTATCTCCTGAGTCCATGAGAACTAACACTGCTCCCATTTCCCAGTCCTTCATGTCAGTACCACTCTCAATACATCCAAGCCTCTAAGCTCAAACACAGCCTGAAAGGAGGGGGCAGAAAGGAGGGTAAAAGTGGGGTTAGCAGCAGAAGCTGAGCACTGGTAGGAGAGGAGGAAAGAGGCAGAGTGGGAGACAGGCAGTCCCCTTCCTCTGCACAGAGTCCCAGTCGTGAACACACCCACTGGCCACAGCAAAAGGGCACTGTGCATGGGCACAGGTGGGTCCCAGGCCCTCTGGCTGGATGCAGCTTAAGCGCACAGCCTGAATGAAGACTTTCATTGCTGTTTGCTGTTTTTGTTGGCCAGTTGCCATGGCAAACATTTGCAGGTGGCTTGGCCAGATTTTGACACTTAAATATTTGAGGTTGTGATAAAAATCAGAATATTACTACAATATGGTTCTGTGCAGCCTCAAAAAAAAAAAAAAAAAAACTATCTGCAATTTCAAATGCTCATTTAAAGACACAGTCTCCAGAGGGAACTCATGTTTTAAAATAAGTACTCATTTCCTCTTTGCTGAGAGAAATAAAAGAGTCAACCATCCCCAAATGTTACCACCTAGAGTTTTATTCTGAATCCACTGTGAGATGGGTTGGCTTGTTCCTTGCTGAGCCCCCATGATCATCTGGGCAATGTTTTGGATGGGTCACATGGAGAAAATGGAAATGACAGGATGTGTGGGTTGAAATCAACATGGTAAGCACAACAGGGAAGGATCCGAAGAAAAGAAACAACCTCCCTCAAGTTTGGCAATGAGACAGAGTCCTAAAAGTGACAATTATCTCCTGGAACACACCAGATATACAACACCCCAGGACTGGGAATAAATGGGAAACGGAGTGGGTTAGGAGGTCACAACTATCAGAGAAACACCCCCACCCATCCAAGCATAGTGGCATGGCCTAGAAATGTCACCAAACTGTACAGCCTTGGGCGAACTAGGTAAATTATTGACAGTCAACACCCATCCCAGAACTTAGGGCTAACCTTTAAAAGGCTGTTTCACAAAAACCGGCATTGTTCTAACAATGGCTGAATACTTAGGGCCTCCAAGAGGGTAGCTGGGGACTGGTGCAGGGAGAGGCAGAACTCCAGGGGAGAAGGAATGCTGTAAAACTGCTAATAAACTCTAGCACATTTTATGTTTTTTCCCTTTGAAAGAAAAATAAAATAATTATAATTAGCTGGCCTAACTGTGAATTGTCTGCCCAAAGCCAAGCCTCTAGAGTGAAGGAGTCCCTTGAGGTTTTGACACTGTCCTTGACAACCCACTCCACCCTCTTAGTACATTATAGGTTCTTGCTTTAGATAGTGGCAGCATTTGCTTGCACAGTCATCTGAGAAGAAAAGAAGTCTTTAACAGAGACAGTTGCTAATTGAGTGCTGGCTTCTTCAAACAGAGCAAGCATCCAAATGGCTGGATTCATTTTCTATTTTTTGAATGAGAAACCAAATGGACTCACAGCGAACTCACAAAATTGTCATTGCCCACAACTGTCATTTGTTAAGGTAGGTCTCCACATATCACAACCCATCCAGGTAAGATGAGAAATGTGAGTCAGGGTACACCTTCTAGAACATTTGAAGGAGAAATAAGCCAGTGATGTCCCTAGTACTTGCTTCGGTCTGCTAATTCTTACAAGCATTGGAAACAAGGGGGCAAAGACACAGTGACAAATTGTGGGACAACTTCTAATTTTTTTACATTACCATATCCAATATTCAACTGGATGTTCAAACTTCGCTCTGATGTATATCCTAAAAGGCTCCCTTTGCTGTTTTAAACTCTGGGAACATAGAGCAACCAGTTTTCAGCATCCAACAATATAAATTTACCACAGCTCTTTGGCTTTAGTTATTATCTTCTCTTCCTAAGAACTTGAATGCTCTTAAATATTTTATTTCCTCTTTACTCTTGCGAGGGTAGAAAAAAAGAGACACCATCCTCATTCTGGAGATAAGGAAGCTGAGATTCTGCATTTCTAAGCAGCTCCTGGCTAATGCACAGGCCGCTGGTCCTCAGATCCCACTCTGAGTAGCAAGGGACTAGAGCTCTCACATGATACTCAGAAGTGAAAGCTCTTTCCATCCCATAATACAAAGTGCCCGGGACCATCTTACCAAGGCCTTGGAATTATCTTTTTTATGTAAATTAGAGGGAGAGGGCCTGCTTTATTTGTTCTGTCTTCTCTAGGAATTACTATGGACCAATACAGAGAAGGGAGAAACTTCTTTCTACTATCCTCAAGTATTTGTCTTGAGAACTATGCTGTGGACTCCATAACACCCACAGAGTTTCCTGTAGTCATCTTACAATTCATAAATCTTGTTTGAAGAAACAATGATACAGAATGACTTGCTCCCTGACCCCTAACCCAAAGTCAGGGTCAAAAAGCATCCACCAAACAGAGACCCTCATCTCCCTTCTATAAAAAACAACACTGTGAGCTCTAGGCAATATCACATCAGTCAGGAAAACCAACTTCTGTCTCATCCAACCCGGGCACTAGAAACAAGAAGAAAATCCAGAACCTTCCCTGAGCTCCAGCCAGGCCCCAGAGACAACAAGGAGGTCTCCTTACCCAATCTGGCGGTTGGTGGAAGGTGCTTGTGTGATGACAGAGCTGGACTGGGGTGACGGCATGGCTTGCTGAATCACAACACTGGTGTCATGGTTGGGCATCCGTGTGCTGCCAAGCTGGTGAGCTCCAGGCCCCGCCATTGCCCCACCAACTGTATTATGCATCGAGATATTCTGCCCAGAGAAGACAGAGGGGAAAGGTCAGAGGAAGCCAATGTTTTATCCTACTTTCAAGCTCTCGAAGACCAAAATTGGGAATCTGGTTATGTCAACTAAATAGAGAGTTATGGCTCTGGCAAGCCATAAGTCCATTCATCTTGTTATAACTTACAACTATGAATAGATGAAAAATAACTATTTGCTATAAGAAAATACCTTGAAGTTCACTAATCACATTACCTCCATCCTGATGTGAGGTTTACATCAGGGATGTTTAGTGACTCAGTGTGATATATCCTACATTTGAAAATGATTTCTGTGGTATGTGCTTAACCCTGTGATTTAGTGAAGAGCCTTTTGGCATTCTGCTTTGAATGGTAAGCACACTAGGTTACTTTTTTTTACCCTTCTTTTTCAGTCAACCACTATATCCCGCCCCCCTCCCCCAAATGCTACTTTTCCAAATTGTAATCTGGGTACCCATTACCCAAGTCTCAGAATTGGGATGGATGGATGATTAGAACAGACACGAGGTGTCTGGGATCTAATAAAACAAGAGCAAAAGTTGCAACGTCTGCTGTACTTCCATAAAATCAATTCATAACGATGTTATGGAATCACAGAATACAGAATGAGTGACTGTTTGCTTATTCATTATCTTTCCCTCTAGAATGTAGAATTCTTGTGTCAAAAATGCTATACCTATGTTTGGAACATAGTAGGCATTCAGTAAGTAACATATTGCATGAACAAACTAGTGAAAGAAAAAATGAGACTAAGTCACTTAAGGGTGCTAATATTTCTTTCTGATGACTTAGATAAAGGTTTCATTTAAAATTCTAAAATAAGGTAAAAAAAATTTAGCTTAAAAGATAGTTCTTCCAGAAAAGAAGGTCACTGGGACAAGAGAGGATACATATTGAAGCTAGGGAAGGCTGAGCAACATGGTGGGGCTAAAATATGAAACATTCAGAACCTATAAAAGAAAGAGCAAGCACAGGACAAAGCAAATTAAGTTATGGCCTCTGTAACCATCATGTACAGAACTTCAGCCTAGGAGAGGAGGGAAATTCGAGAGGTCATTTGGACAATGGGTTGAGGATGGCAGGAAAGAAATGAAGTGTCACTAGCAATTTACTGGAGGAAAAAAAAAATTATATATATATATATATATATATATATATATATATATATATATATATATATATATCTGTCTGCGCTTTGGGGTTAGCAAAGAAAAAAGTAAATGTTACCCAAGAGAACTAGAAGTGGTTCTTTGAAGTTCTTTTGCAAAGAACAGGATTTCCTGCACTACGTGTTAAATGATGGTGATAACATATATGGTACTTGGGGTGGCTGTGTCCATCACATTGCACCTTTCCCATGTTTCTGATTTTTAACTCCTGACCACACAGTTTGTTAGGAGTCCAGATGGAAACTGGGCACCTGGCATAGACTGTGAGCGACTGTTTTGTCGTGGGTTCCCAAAGGCATGAATAGGCTTATACATACACACACAGTCCAATGCTCCTCTTATATACTGGGAAGCTTTTCTGATGTGGGGAAATATTGTGGTTGGGTAAAGTAACATGAAAGGAAGTGGTGATTTCTATTGGGGTGGCACTGCAGGGACATGCTCTAGTTCTCTTTATAGGCTCTAGAGACATAGAGAATTAAACTTAAAATAATGAAAATAAAAATAATTGTGTTATTTCCTTTGAAAGTGAGTCTTAACAAACTTACTTTCCTGAGTCTTAATGAGATCTTGACAAAGTAAACAATTACAAGTATTATTTTTTCCATTGTTTGGATCCTTAAAGATACTAAAGAGTTTTCATCTTGCCTGCTATCACCTACTTTGTCAATAATATAATCCCTGACTCTGTTTTTAGAAGCAGCATGATTAAACTTTTAAAATAATAATATTAAAACTCAGAAACAAGAATATAAAATCTATGACCTCTTTTTTAGTTACATTTGACATATCTTTTCTATTGCCCCCACAGTCAGTCCCCAAATATTATAAATTCAACTTAAGCATCCTATATCTCTTTCTGTCTTTCCATCTATCCTTCTACAAGCTTACACCCAACCAGCACCACATCCTTTCCTGGACTAGACAGTGGTCTCCTAGTTTGTCTCCTGTCACTCACTTTAGCTTCCCTTCCTCCTCTTTCCCATATTATAACCATAGGGATCTTCTCAAAAGGTAAAACTGATCATATCTCTACAATTCCCCTACAACCTCTAACCCTAGCTTCTTGAATGGTTGGCTTCCTATGGCTTAGAAAACACTGGCAGCATTCTCTGGATGACCTTCAAGGTCTGTATGGGATCCTTCTACCTCCACAGCCTGCCTTATACGACAGTCACTATTGCCCCTGTGATTTATTCCACTGTGCTGAAATATTCCTGCCTTTAAACTGACAATGCTCCATCTCAGCACAGGGCCTTGCAATTAGCTCTTTTCTGTTGCCTCTGCTCTTCCCCTGACCACACCTTCAAATACTAGATCAAGCAACTCATGAGGAAGCTGACCTCTCCCATGATGGGCATCATCTCCTTTTTTTTTGTAGTATTTTTCATAATATTACAATTATTTTTTATTATTTGATTAACATGTTTCTTCCTCTAGAACAGTGGTTCTCAACCTTTCTAATGCCGCGACCCTTTCATACAGTTCCTCAGGTTGTGGTGACCCCCAACCATAAAATTATTTCCGTTGCTACTTCATAACTGTAATTTTGCTACTGTTATGAATCGTGATGTAAATATCTGTGTTTTCGATGGTCTTAGGCGACCCTGCTGTAGAGCCTAAGACCATGGAAAACACAGATATTTACATCACGATTCGATGGTCTTAGGCGACCCTGCTGTAGAGCCTAAGACCATGGAAAACACAGATATTTACATCACGATTCATAACAGTAGCAAAATTACAGTTATGAAGTAGCAACGGAAATAATTTTATGGTTGGGGGTCACCACAACCTGAGGAACTGTATGAAAGGGTCGCGGCATTAGAAAGGTTGAGAACCACTGTTCTAGAAGATGGGTGGGGAACCTTTATTCTGCCAAGGACCATTTGGGTATTTATTACATCATTTTCAGGCCATACAGAATTATCAACCTAAATATTAGCCTGCTATATTTAGTCAAACATTTAATGAGCTCATCCCTAATGGCTTGGCAAGGCAAGACCAAATGATTTGGTGGGACTTACACAGCTGTGGGCCGGATGTTTCCCACCCCTGCTCTAGAATATAAGCACACTGACAGAAGGGACTAAGTATGATTCTATTCCCATTGTGTCTTTATTGCATAAGTCAGTGGCATATAGTAAGTGCTCAATGAATGTTTAGTGAATAAGAAAAATATAAAAGTATCATTCCTAAAATATTCAGTATGATAAAAATCTTATCTTTTGTTCCCTATGCAATTTTTTCAGCGTGCTAACTTCTTATTTACCTCAAAATCTCTAAGTATACTCAGAATAATACAGTTTTAGATGCTAAGGTACTTATACTTGGGCTAAAGAAATAGAGAGGATCAGGATTAAGAAAAAAGCCACAAGCATGGCATGTAGATTGGAAAGTAAAGCCGTTGGTAAAGTATTAAATGAACCTTTGGAGGAAAATACAAAGTAGTGAGCTTCAAATCTGAGAACTTTGACTTAAATGATGGCAACAACCATTCTTTTTTTCTTCTACCATCAAAACTAAGAAAAACTGACTTGTGCTGCAGCCCCAAAACATGGGTTTCATATCTTCAGAGTAAAGCATGTTAAATGAGAGAAATAAGTAAGATCCTCTAACCCATGCCAAAACCAGTTTAAGAATCTCCTCTGAAAATCATTTTTAAAAAAATACAAAGGACTATATAGGAAAATAAATTCTCCCTTTCCCACCAAAATCATCTCTTTGTCTCTGTGATCTCCACCAGACATAGAAAAGGCATCTGAAAGTTATATTCTAATTCTTCAATAATATGCTTTCTTTCCCACACATAAAATCAGCACATTCTCCAGCCTCCTTCTCCAAATACAGAGGGTAATTTCAAAACATAGTGGAAAATGAAACAATTAGACAAGTATTATTATTATTTCATATTAGGAGTAGATAGTCTTTTTTCTTTAAGCATTATATAGTAACTCAAACATGAAATTACTTTCTGAGTTCACATTTTCCCAGTTATTGGTTTAAAACCTGTCTTCATTGATAAAAGAATGGTATTTTAACCTCCAGATAAATTAAACATCCAATTTGCAAAATACAAAGATTAACTCTATCTTGCTGAGCTACTTTTCTGGTAGAGTGCATAGATTTGGAGCTGGTGAAACGGTATCACAAAAGCAGTGGACATATGTCAATATGCTCAGAAGGATTGGGGGGTGTTCCTTGAAGTTCAGCCTTTGGTCTTTTCTTGTTTAACATATTTATTAACAGCTTGGATGAAGATGTAAAAATTGTGCTTGTCAACTCTGCAGTTGACACGTGTAGGGAGGCATAGCTATGTTCTGCATAGTAGATTCAGGTTTTACTGAGCCAAATGTGTGATCTGGCCTCCAAAAAATGCTAACATAAATCTAGGTTGTTGTAAGAGAAGTGCAAAGTCCAGATCAAGGGAAGTAATTATTCCCCTGCAGAGCACATTGAACTGACCACATTTGGTGACCACATTTTAAGGGGGGATTTGACAAATAGGATTGAATGAAAGCCACGACAACATCCGAAATGCATCACAGGAAGAACAGTAGAAGAATCAGAATATTTAGTCTGGAGAAGAGAAGACTTAGAGGGTCATGATAACTGTCTTCAAATATTTGTGGAATTAGATATAGTATCTGTTGCTCCAGCAGCCATGATTTCAAAAAAAAATGATGATAAAAGCCAATAATAACTACATTGTGAGTACCTATTTTGAGGCAGCCACTATGGGAGATGCTTTATAAACTGCACTCTAATCCTCACAATGACCCTATAAAATAGGCACTATTCTTCACATTTTAAGATGAAA